GGGAGGGAGGGAGGGAGGGGGGAAGCAGGAGTTCTGGAGATGGAAGTGTCCTTGTAACTGCAATCTGCGATCCCATTCCTGGTGGTCAGAACAGTCCGAGCAAAAAAAAAAAAAAAAATTTAATTCTTCAGCATAACCAGCTAAGGCCGGGCTTTCCAACCACTTTGCCCCGAAACTCTGGAACACTCTTCCTCTATTCCTCCGCCTTGCCCCATCTCCATCTTCAGATCGGCTTGGAAGACCTTCCTCTTCGACTGTGCCTATGGTCACCTTGGCGTCATGCTCCGCCCCTGTCAAGCGCTTTGGGACGCTGTATAAATGCAAGTTGTTGTTGGATGTTGGTGAAAGTTGGGCCTCCTGGTAGAGAATAATTCACTGAATGGAGATGACATTTTAGTCTGCATCCTGAGTTACAAAGCCGGATGTTGTAAGCAAGTTTGTTTTGATACCCTCTGTGGTTGAGTTGGCTTTACCACCATGTGGGAGACTTCGCACGGTTGAGCCCTGAAGAACTTTTGTTCATTTATTTGGACTTTATTTAGCATGATGCAACTTTATTCAAGTCAAATTTTTGTTTGCCCAGAGAGATAATTCCTAAATAGACCATTTGGAATAAAGCCTCCTCATTTCCCCCTTCCCCAAGCAACTGCTCTCATGTGGTCTGTTCAAGCTGGGAGACGCAACACCCCAATTCAAATCTCTGTTCACTTCCTGCTATGTGGTGTGTGCATCAGGAAATTGACTGTGTTTGCTAAACAGGTGAAATCCAGTTTCTGTGATGCAGTATTTTTAAAACAATTGTTCAAGTAGACTATATTTTGTCAAATAAAGCCAATTCTTTCTCCCAATTTATAGCACAGTGTTGCACAACCTTGACAGCATGTGGTGTGCTACTGAGCCAGATGTACTCCAGATCACAGCTGTAATCCCTTGTCTGTGCTAGGTTAATTTGGGCTCTGGTAGGACATGTAACCAACCAATTGGCCTCAGTGTCCTGTGCTAGGAAATTGTAAGACAAACTAGAATGGCATCATCTGATTATTATTCAATGACTCCAGCAGGGAGTGAGTGGGCAGACAGGAATAAGATCCTTCTTGGTTGATTTCTTCTGATGGTTGACTGGCAGGTTGAGACTTGCTGTCGAGGCTCGGAGGTGACGTATAGTGACGAGATGGCACCAATGAAACCATATGAGAGTTACTTCCTTCAGTAAGGATTCAAAACGTGTAAGAAATTGGGCTATTAAGTGCCAAAATGTTGGTCAAGTGTCTTAGCGGCCATTGTTTTGGGGGTCACGGCCACTTGATCTTGGCAGTTGGCTCTGGATTCGTATGAGCGTGTTTGAGCAAGCTGAGGCCCTGAACTTCTAACATACAGTGGAGCTATTGCATGTTGGGTGCAATTTTCTAAGCAAACGGTGGCAGGATATTGCAGGAGGAACAAAAGTGCTGGGGGAAGTTGGGTGTGAAGCTGCTTAGAATTGTGGAATGCTTGCTGTGACACGTGCTTGCCCGTTGCACACTGCGTCCAAGGTCGCAGGGAAGATCCAGTGATGATTTACAAGGCCCTGTGGTATCATATTTTCAAACCGAACCCTTGTGGTGTTTCAGTTTCAAACAGGAACATGCTGATGTTAACTGGGTCGTACCTGCTTGAGATGTTTGGTTATTTATTTTTGCTGCAGATCAGCTGGCGGTTCGATTTGTCGAGCTGGGTTTCTCAGTTCTGTTTTTTTGTTGTTGTTGTCTGTTTCCGAGGCAGTGAGTGAGATATTTTTGCTGCCTCCTATTGGGAGATGTCTTGCGCTTGGTAAACCCAACTGAAACCAGGAACTCCTTGCAAAGATGGCGACCAAATCGTAGAGACCGTGTAGCAGCGTGCGGTGTGAGTGTCTGTTCCCAATTTGGTTTGGTGGTATACCTCCCGATGCCTTCTCCACTTATGGCTCATTAGAGCGGTGTACTTTGCGTTTGAAAGCGATTTGAGCTGAGTAGAGGGAAGTCGAACAGAAAGTTTAAACTACTTTGCCAAAATACAGGGAATTATGCGGAGTGGATTACCCACGGGAGAAATCGTAGGAAGGGTTTTGTCAACAAATTTAACAGGGAACTGAATCGCCATTTGGGGAAGAAATTGATTTGCGGGTGTGAGATAATCTAATTTGGGACCAGTACACACTGGGGGAGGAGTAGAGGAAGGGATCAGGAGGAGTATAAACACTGCCACAAACAACTTGGGCTGAATGGCTTGTTTCCATGTTGACAGTCCATAGATTTCTATGTAATTTGCTCTGTAATGTTTTTCCAGTCCTGTACAATCTGGGGATCGTTTGCATTTCACAATGCTGGGTAGCATCCCAGTAGCATCTCAAAACTGAGAAAGAGTCTGTTTATATTATATTCAGCATTATAGTTCAGATTTATTTTCCTTTCTCCCATCTCCACATGTTTATTTTTTTTAAAAAAAAGTTGTTGTTTATAACTGGTTAAAACCAGAGCATTTATCGAGAGTCTTCGACCTAATCCAATCTTTGTTGGTCATCTTGGCTCCCATTTAGGAAGGCAACTGAATTGGAGCCCAGAACTGAACCTGTTTCCAAAAACTGCTCGATTCTTCAACATGAGTGCTTTGACTTATTCTGTAGAGTGAGGGAAAACTGTCTTAATGTTAATTTGCGATTTCAAAATACAGTTTCGCCTTTTTTTCCCCTTGTCACATATTGGCACCGCACAAATATATATGATGGTTTGAAAATTTGTCTTGTAGGCCTCTTGAAGTCCCAAAAAATAGGGTATTCACTTCACACTGAGAACATAAAGTATATCTTGGTTACTCAATGGATATGGGCAGTATGATACTGAGTCATGCAGATCAGAAATAGCCCAGTTTGATCTCTGCTCATCTAGTTGATCTCAGCCATGGGTATAGTAAGGGCTTGGTGATTGACCTCAGCATCTGGACTAAGGAGGGGAAAATTCAGTCCAGTAGTTCATGCTGAAAGGGGGATTTTGGATGAGGGCTTGGCTATGATGGGTTCACGGTTGTCAGCTACTGTGCTGTCTAGGGTCTCGTGTTAGCAATGGCTGCTTGGGAAAGGCACTCGCAGGCAGCTGGAGCCTCTATATCTGTGGCCTATTGTGAGTCACTTCCTTTAGGGGCAAGGGAGAAAAACAAAGATGATTTTTTTTGTGTGTGTCGCTTCCTGCAGGAAACAAGTGTGCGATAAGGTGTTTGGCGTCTGTGTGATGTGCAAAATCTTAAACTAAGTCTGGATTGTTTTGGATCGGTGTCGGTCATTTGCTCCCGTTGCACATGTCCACTTGGCATTGTGGAACTTAACATTCGAATGAAGGTGGAGCTATAATTATCTTTTGTGTTGTCTGGCTCCTGAATGTAATGGGAAATCTACCTCTGCCAAGCGGCAGTGCTATTGTAGTAGGGCTTGTGCTTGGTTGTTTACATGTCAAATTCCTGGATGGTGGTCAAGGTATGTGAGAAGGAGACTCTTCCCAAAGCTGCCTGGTCAAGGAACATTGGCTGAGCATTTGAGAACGCGAGGGAAGAGCAAAACGTGGAGAGAAAGGAACATTGTTAATAACAACGACAACTTGCATTTAAATAGCGCCCCCATAGCATCCCAGAGAGCTTGGCCGCGGTGGGGCACGGCGCCGAGCTGGGGGGAGGTGTCCATACGCACAATCGAAGAGGAGGCGCGATACGTTTACGCCGCTTCCTTACCCATCTACAGCACGGCTCAGAGGGGACAAAATTCGATTTGGATTGAATTGAGTAATGTTACTCGTAACGTTTAAACCACTTTGAGACTTGATTTGTTTGGCTCTCCGAGAGTTTGTTCTGCAGTTGCCCGCTGGGTGTTCCCCAGAAATGAGTTGAAAGGTTTTTCCAACGCGTTCGGTTACGCCAACTGATTGTTGTACATTTAAATCCAATGATGGTGCAGTGGAGAATCCTAGTGTGGTGGGTGTGGAAGAAATGACTCCTGTTGTGTTCTGTAATGCAGTATTGGTCTTGTCCCACTTCTGCCTCTTTTTTTCCCCAGGGTATTATTCATTTCATACCGTTTATTGTCCTGGCCTCTTCTTCCACCTCTTCTGCCCCTCTCTTCCACCACCATCCCATTCTTTTGAGGCCATAGTAAAGAATGTAACTGTTGGGATGGGAGAGAGGGAATTAGATTGATCTTTTGATCCAGCGCCTGGTCAAAATCCTTCTGGAAAGTGTAGGTATCTGGTGAGACAGGACTATGCCAGCGTTTGATACCTCCTGAAGGCAGTATTTGCCCATTGAGGCCTGCTGTTGTCAGTGGAAAAGTACCTCAGAGTGAGTCACTAACTGAAGAGAAAAATGAGGTGGTGACTAAATTGGTTGCGAACATTTTCTCAGGGATCTGCGCTCTCGTCTTGATGAAAGACCAGTAACACTGCGACTTTTTAATTAAAATGGAAACGCGGGGGGTGGGGGGCAATGAAATAAATGTTTCCATCAGGGTTTCTGAAATGAGGGGGACAAACGACTTTTTTTGAGCCTGTTGCGATTATGTTAGTAACCAAATTAGGTGTAGGTTATCGATTAAAAGAAAAATCAAACCCTTTCATCGTGTCCTTATTTGACTTCTAGGCTAATTTTTGTCTGTTGCATGTTTCTCTACACAATTCTTACACTGCATTTTGTGCTTAGGAATGGAGATCGCTTTTCCTGCCAAGAAAAACATGCTGAATGCTATTGACAAACTATGACTAACAAATTTAACATGTACTCAGGAGTCCAGAAAGAATTTTGAATTAAATATTTGGGTAGAGTGCTCAGGATTAAGCCAACGTTTTCTTTTTGTCCGTCTCAAACCGGACAGCCATTAATTCCACCTTGTGTATCTCTGCTTTTTAAGTATTGTCCAATTTAATGGATTTATGTTGTGACATGTTGCAGGAGGGGACCGTAGAAGGAATTGTAATTGGATTGTAAATTGTGTTGTTTTTCAGGCTAGCAGCAGGAGGAGGGAGTGGAGCTGGCCTCTGTGGTTGGAGAGGCCGGTGAGTCTGTCTCTCAGCGCTGCATGGCTGCGATGGCGCCCGCTCTCACAGAAGCGGCAACCGAAGCTCACCACAGGTTCAAACTGGCGACGCCTTCCTCCTCCCTATCTCCGCCGGCCCCTGCAGACAGCGAGAACGGCAACCCCGTCAACAGCAACGCCAAGCGGAAAGCCTTCGCCGACGACCACGGCCTGGATTTTCGAAACAATCCCAGGAACGAAGATCGGTGCAAGCTGCAGCCTCTGGTGCCCTCGTATTGCTGCCTGGATGCAGCATCTCGACCTCCTCCTCCCCCAGAATCGGTGAAGCTGCAGGCATCGTTCAGTAAGCGCGCTGTAATTAAATCGCACACCATACTGTCCCATTCCTTGCTGGACACGGGCGTGCTTAGGACTGAGCTACTTGGCGGACAACCAGCCTTGGAATTTTCTCCTGGTCTCTTGAAAACGATGAACACAAACAGCACCCAGGCTGCACTGCTGCCTCCCCCACAACCACCAGTCAACGGGTTGGCGAAGAAGTCCAGTGCCGGCCTACGGCAGGATTCTGACCTAAACAATGCAGGGACAGGGGGGAAGCCCCTTCCCTCAATGTTTACCAGCTCTGGGTCCAACCAGCTGGACGATTCTGGTAAGCTACCGACTGAGGTGTCCAATAATAACCCAATGAAAAAGTGTGTGGCCGGGGAGCAGGGTAACTTCAGTAAAGAATTCAGCACTAGCGATGAGGGTTTGCCCAAATCGCAAGCTCCCAGGCTTCAAGAGCTTGGCGGCAATGGTATTAACACTGTGTCCAGATCTTCAACACAGGTCTCAGCCAGTGGGGTTTCTGGAAGTACTGATGGCGGAAAGAAGTGTTCTGTCCCCAGAATAAATCCTGTTAGCATTAGCACTCTGGATACTGAGGTTCACAGTCGGACATTGGTGGCTCAGGCCAGGCAAACGGAGATTGAGAGGAGGGCATGCAGGCTCCGGAAACGACTTGAAGTTGTTCAGGCGAAGCAGGTAGAGAGGCACGTGCAGCAGCAGCTGGGAGGGTTCGTGGAGAAGACCTTACACAAGCTTCCGCATTTGGACTGTCTGAAATACCAGGACGGGGCCCTGCGTAATCAGCAGTCCGTTTTTGCCCGAAAGTCCGACTCTGCTGCGCGGAAAGGAGGCGAAAGCACTTCGGAAACGCTGGCCAACTTCTTCAAGAGCATCACGGTGTCGAAGGGACTGGAAAAGTTTGTTTCGAGCTCCGATTCCAAGCTACGGTTCACAGAGAATGCCTTTGACTCGGATGTTACGGAGAGCAGTTCTGGCGGCGAGTCTGACATTGAAGAGGAATCGTTGAGCTCGGTCGAGGTGGAGCAATATCACACACCGCTGTGAGTAACACCTGAATGATGGCAGTGTTTTGACATGAGGTGAAGAAGTAATGCCGGGGAACTGATTGTCACTATTTTAGTTCCTTTCCGAGTTTACAATGAGAGGCGTTGGTTGTCGCACTTCTTGTCACTCACCATCCTTTGTGTTTTTGAGTACTTGCATCTCTAACTATGGAAAGGTTTCATTTAACCAGAATATTTTGGATGAGGCTTATTTTCCATGGTCTCTTTACTGGGTTTGGGGATCCAAGGAGAGGAGGGTGACTGAGGGGGAAAAGGAGTATTGCCCTCAAACTGAATATAGTTGCCATAGGGAAACCTTAAATGTTGAACAGTAGGCTGAGTGTTCCTGCTTTGACTGTTGTGGTGTCCTGTTTCTGATCGACTTAAAACTCCGGTTTAAAGTACTTCGTTTAAGTAGTAATAAGGGAGTGGGAGCAGGAAACGTACATGCTATGTCAGGAGATATGGCTTTCGTGTGCAGACTCGCAGGTCCCATTGTTACCTGGGTGGGTCTTGTTTCTCAAAAGAACCGAGGTATTTTCCCTTTTTTTTTTGTTAAAGGAATACCAACGTTTAGAACACTGCGCGTGAATCTTCTGTCATTTGACGGCGGCTGTGTTTTGGGGGACTCTCTGGGTCCGTTCTTCACCAGCTGCTGGGCACCTGGGTTTGTCAGGGAGTGCAGTGCCTAACCTTTATTATGTAGATGGTTCGTGCCAGACTGAGATGGGCCTGGATTTCGAATGGTGCAATGTTAGCAATGACTCCCTAATTTATCGGACACGTTTAAATCCTGACAGGGGGATGGAAATGTACAAACTTATTCGTAATTTTATGTGGTTGTAGTTTCATTAACCTTCTAAGAATATCTGGTTTGGGAGGGTGGGGGGAGAGGTTGCTTGCCACAGTTAAGCACAGCTCGAGGCAGAGATGTGTATGGCCAATACTTCAGATTCCTTGGTTTATAAATCCCACTACTTGCCAGCTGAATTGTTTACCTGCTGTACCATTTGTAAATACGCAGTGCCTGGATGATCTTCGTTTAATCTTTTCCGTGCATACAGATGATCATGAATAATTACCTTGTTTGCCTGCTTTGACAGGTGGAACAGTTCACAAGGTTTACCAGCAGCTCGTTACACTTTGATTTCTTGGGTGCTTCATCGCTGGATGGAGAGGTGGAGCAGTTTGCATTGACCCCCCCTTTCCACCCCAGCTTCTGAAGATGCTTTCACTTTGTGCTATAGTTCTACGGGCACTACCCACCTTCTTGCCAAGTTTGCCATTCTTTTGGGTATGACATTAGACTGGGTTTGGAGGATTGTTGAATCTGGTGTCTTCACCTAGTCAAGCGGTGGAAGCACGCATAACACACGGTGCTGGGTGGAATATGTGTTGTGTTGCTTTGAGGTGTCAGTGGGAATCTCCAAACACACCTGGTTAATGGTTTGCACCAGTAAGTAGAAGCATTAATTGTTATACCAGAAAGACAGTATATTTGGCTCAATAAGGCTGTGCCACTCGTGATCTCCCCGTGAACCACCTAATATAATCCCACTCTCCTACTCATTTCCCCAACATTTTATTTTCCTGGCATTATCGATTCAGGTTTAAGTTTATGTGCTCCTTTTCTCACTCTCTCTCACACACACTCTCCTTCCTACCTGTGTAGACTCTTGTCAAACCTGTATTCTTCAGCAAGCCAACACTTCAGAGTGTTTGGCATGCCTACGGTTTAGCCGACTTAATTCCGTATTCCATTCAGTCATTACTTGCTCATATTTTCCTTTGTTAGCTTTCATGGATGAAAATACTGAGTGTGAACAAATGATGGTGACTCCCTTCAGTTCTGTGGGAAACTATGGGTGAGCTAATGTGCGGTTCTGCATTGGACTTTGAATTGAGGTGTTTGTTCACAGAGCTTGGGCTATCAACCCCCAAAAATATACAGTCAATTCACTCGCTCCCTCCCTTCCCTCCCCTCACCCTGACCATTTCCCCGCTGCTCGGGTCCTGACCCAACTGTCCAGCGCCTTGGGACGTCCTCCCGGCGTGAAAGGCGCTCTATAAATGGAATCTTGTTGTTGTTGTTGTTTACAGTCTACTCCGTGAGGTGCTCTGAGACGTGATAAGGCGCTGTATCAAATCTATTTTATAACGAAATAATCCTGGTTTAACATTGTTTGGAGTTTCAAATCTGTTTACTGCTGTTCCTTCTTTCACTTCCCTTTCTTCTCCCTCTCCTCCCAACCCCCACCACTGCCGCACACAATGGATTTACTCAGCTAATAGGGGAGTTGAGTTCCGAGATTAAACGATAGGGTTGTCTAGTATTCTTGCCACTGGAAATACGTATAGATGAGAACGGGAAGAGGCAGAACTGAAGGGTCAGCAACGACAGCTGTCTTAAACCCCTCTTGCACTCTTCCCAACTGAATTGATGATCGGTGTTGGGTCGCCAGAATGACTCCCAAAACAGCTTTGCCTGCCCGCAGAATCGTGAGCCAGTCAAACATTCTGTTGGTCCCCTAGGACTCCACGGGCAAATATTTGGCGTACAAGTTTCTGCGACAACTTAACTGAATGTTTCTGATACCCAGGGTACATTTGAGGAAAAACTAGGTATCAGTGTGCCGCGTTGGACTTTTCTAACATTTGTGAATGCAAGTGCTGGAGATAATGGGACCAGTTCCATCAATTGTGATCGAAAGCTGTTCTGTAACTGGTTTTACGAGTTGCTGACTCTGCTAAGTGCTGAGAATCTTGTGGCCGTCTCCCTGAGTACAGACGAGTCTCTGGTCAGCATCTTCACTTTCCCTCGGCTTTGGGCCATTAAGTTGGAAGAGTTGCCGCGTCCTATAATTGTGGAAAGATTCTCCAGAATTGTAGGAGGTTGGTTTGGAGTTCAGTGAGCTTCAGTTCTGTGTGTGTGTGTGTGTTTGGGTAAAACCTACTGCTGCTAACAATTCATTTATATACACCTAGTGGCGTAACAGCATGCAGTCGGAGATAAATGTGCTAATCTATTAGATGCTTGAATAATAAAAGGTAATGTTTGCATTCGATATCAGATCAAATGTCTCAAAGCTCTTCACACTATGGCCTAGCGGGAAGTGTAGAGGGCGGCCATATCTGTAGCAGAAGTTTCACACGTAGCAACTGTCAATTTGGGATGGAGACTGAAGATCCAGTACAAAAGACTGCACCACCAGAACTGCAGCATTCGCCGACAATCCAAGGAATAGACAAGGACTTGAACTACATTGCGGCCCATCTGACCAGTTCTGTCTATTTTTGGGGAAGACCTGAGCTCATGTTCTGGTGCAGGTCTCAACCTCGTGACCGAGAGGCAAAAGTATTACCGAGTGGCCCAAGGAAGGAAGGAGGAAGTGAAATGGGGAAGTAAAAGGTTTTGCCGAATATAAATGCTTTATTCCCTTCAGGCAATTTCCAATCTAGAGTGCCTTCTGTCCTGTCCTGTCCCCAAAAGTAATCATTGGTCCTTGTCAATTGTGGTTCTGTTTCAGTCATTTCTGGTTTAATTTGATATTGCAGTAAGGATTTGTGAGCGCTCTTAGGAGGTACGTGCACCCCAGGCGAGGGTGTGGATGTGAAATCGGTCAAATCGCACAACAGAACTCACTATATTCCTGTGAAGCAGCATCTTAATACAGCATCTTAATTCAGTCTCTCACATACTGGATTATTTGTATTCCATCTGTGGGTTTTTTCCCCCCCCCCCCCCAAGTTTTTTTTACATAAACCGCAAACTGCCTTGCTCATGGGAATGCTCGGGGTAACCCACTATTTTTTTTCTATCTCTTTCCTGTGGGGAATGGTCCAACATTCTGTTTGCTGGTATTTTGAGTACTTTCCCCACATGAGATGTTGCTCTGTATTGTTAAAACCTTTTGAGTTTCCACTCTTGCGGAGAATAGAATAAACTGCCTTTGAGAAGCAATATTGTCTTGCTTTGCTCTGGCTCGGACATTTTTCTAGTAGCTATCTATTGAATGCTTATGCAGGTGAGATTTTCACGTTCTCTGTAGTGATTATCTGGAATAAGTAAACGCAAGATTTGGCTTCACAGAAGATTACTCTCAGGTTAAGTATCCTTTCCTGTTATCCAGCATTTTGTGAGCTGCAATTAACTCCCTTTGATTTCAGCCTTCAGAATACTTTGACAAAACCTGTATCACAGTAATTGTAGAATTACCGCCAACCCAGGAGGCCGTTTTGCCTCAAGTGCTCTTTGAAAGTAAGTGTCCTTGTCCCATGTTTGGATTTTAAATATGTCTTACAATAATAATTTGGTCACTTACTCCACGACTGTTTGTGGGACACTGCTGTCAGCAATTGGCTGTTGCGTTTCGCTCACAAAATATACAGTCGATTAACTTCACAGTATATTCTGTGAACCGCTTTGAGACGTCTCAAAGATGTGATAAGGCGCTACATTAAATGCAAGGATTGTTATCATTTATGCCCTCTAACAATCAACTCGCCGACCAGTGAAGGTAATTTCTCGACCTCAAAACAGCTTGTAATTTTGAGCAACCATTTATGAATCTTCGCAGCATTCTCTGTTATAGTGTTAGCGTGGTGGCACTCTGCTAAATAAAGGCTGCTTTTGTCCCAAAACATTTTTCTAGGCCTGATGAAACCCTGTTGCACTCGTGTCTGCACAGTGAGAAATGTAGGCTGGCATGAGGCAAGCGAATGCTGAGTCATGGCAGTGTGCGTTTGGAGAAAAGTGAAACTTATTTTTATAAAGCCTAAATGTCAAAGCGTCGAACTTCTTCACAGTAATTGCTAGTGTGTGCTGTGACTATATTTGTAGAGAGAACTTGGCAGCCATTTTGCACACAAGTAAAATTTGAAAAACAATCCTTGCATTTGATATAGTACCTACCACATCATTGGCGATGTTGCAGCATTTTGCAGGATATATTATAAAGTGCAGTGAGCGGCTTGTAGATGAGCACACACTGCCCTGT